CAATCAATCAATCAATCAATCAATCAATCAATCAATCAATCAATCAATCAATCAATCAATCAATCAATCAATCAATCAATCAATCAATCAATCAATCAGTCAATCAATCAATCAATCACTCAATCAGTCACAGGGGATTTAAACCATCTTACTGAGTGCCACTTGAGTGCCAATATTTTTACTAATTTAACAAACATCTTAAGTTCAATTAACTGAACATTGTAAATAGTTAAATAACGGTTTATTAATACCAACGTTCTTAAAAAATCTTAAAATAGGAATAAAAGCAACAAATGATAAATGATAAAAAACAGGAAACAATGGAAAACTGTAAATAATGTAAAAATAAGACATAAAACCAAAGTGTTAAACACAAATGGCTTATTTACAGGGGTTGATTTTCAGCTGTGAACTTGCCTTCCTGACTTTTAGAAGAAGACTTTGTCTGAGTCCAGGCCCATGCTCAGGGAATGATTCCTCCTTCCTGGTTTCCGACAAGAGCAAAGTACGACAAGAGTTTCTTGATCAGAAGACCTTCGAGTGTTATGGGGCATAATGCAGATAAGTGCTGTCCGGTCTTTCTGGGTGTTTTCAGTGTTTTTACGTACTTGTCTTGCAGTTACGCTGTGACAGTTCAGGAATCCTACGCTCACCCATTTGACCAGATCTACTACACCAGATGCACAGACATTCTCAACTGGTTTAAGTGCACACGACACAGGTATGTTTGAGCTAATGTCCCACCAGATGTTTTTTATTATTTAAAGGTAAAATCAAATCCTTAAAAGCCACACAAAACAGAAGTCATGATTGAGTGAAAGTTAGAGGACTGATATGATACCCATCCTTCATGGAGGATGCTGTTATGTTTTGTTTTCTTTTAGTAGAAATTTAACTGTAGCCACACAGAAGGTCAATTCTTTATGACTTTTATATTTAAACTGCCTCCTTACCCAGCCTATTGTCTGTTTTTCTTTGCTGATATCTTTAAATGTGGTACTTACAACAAATTATCTCGCAACCTTTACCTTCAACGTTTTTTTTCTGCCCTTGGGAGTTGTTACTTTTCTTTGCATCACATAGCTGTCTCCGTGTGTCTAATTTAACAGGATCAGCTATAAGACGGCTTACAGGCGGGGAGTGAGGACCATGTATAGGCGCCGCTCTCAGTGTTGCCCTGGTTACTTTGAGAGCGGAGACTTGTGTGTTCGTGAGTATCTATTTATTTTATTTTTTTAAACTCCTTTGTCCTTGCTGATGACATTTCAGGGTATATCTGCAAGACCTTTTGTTAAAGAAAAAAATACTGTAAATATTATGACTGACAGAAAAATCCCAGCAGGCCATTGGCTCTCTGTACCTTCGCTCTGATCCTAGACCATTTCCAGCTGTTGATGTAGCACCTTTCATGTGAATTTATCAAGTTTGACCTGATTTTTCCATAATTTGATAAGATTGCACTATATTTCATATCCTCAGTCCGGGCCCCGTGCTTGAGCAAGAAGAATTTAATTGAAGCTGTATAACAATGACAAGAATTAACGAGCCAAGGAGCTTCTGGTTGGAAACCAAAGAGCCTTCTCCTTTTTCAATTCAATTCAATTCAGTTCAACTCAATTCAATTCAATTCAATTCAATTCAATTCAATTTATTGTCATTATACTGAAACAGGCTTGTACAGTGCAACGAAATGCTTTTAAGCTAGAYCTYCAGTGCAGYAACAAAGGACATAGTGCAGAAAAGACAAGACATAACATGCATAAACATTAGACACAAACATTAAATACACAATTGTGTGTATGAAGTGAACTAGGTGTGGACAACGGACAGTCTATGATTGTTCAGGTTGTGGCTGGAGTGGCTGGGGTCACCAGTTCAACAGCACGGGGAAAGAAGCTGTTCTTGAGTCTGGTGGTTCTGGCTCTGATGATCCTGTACCTTCTTCCAGATGGCAGGGGTTGAAACAGGAAGTGGCTGGGGTGGGTGGGGTCAGAGGAGATACTGACGGCTTTCTTCACACATCTCTTGTTGTAGAGGTCCTGCATGGGTGGGAGGGCAGCTGCAGTGATGAACTGAGCAGTCTTCACTACTCTCTGCAGAGCCTTGTGTTCAACAGCAGTGGCACTACCATACCACACTGTGAGACAGCTGCTCAAAATACTCTCCACAGTGGACCTGTAGAAGGTGCTGAGTAGCTGCTGTGGCAGTTTAGCCCTCTTCAGACGACGKAGGAAGTGGAGGCGCTTGTGGGCTTTCCTGATAATGTGGGATGTATTCAGTGACCAGGTGAGATCCTCTGAGATATAAACACCGAGGAACCTGAAGCTGTCCACTCTCTCCACTRATGTCCCCTCAATACTCAGGGGTTTGTGCGCTCTACTCCCTTGCCTGAGGTCCACAATCAGCTCCTTGGTTTTGCTGGTGTTGAGGGAGCAGCGTGAGGAGTGGTATCCTAGCTAGCTTCGCTAGCCGCCCTCAGACACCCGCTCGCTTACCCCGCTTCTGTTTACGTTCGCATGCCCGTCGTCTGGGTCTTCCGGTCGGATACGGCTCCACATTAGCTTGCGGTGTTCTGGGTCGGAGAATATCCAGCGTGAAGTCGGCAACTGGTAGGCTGAAAGGTACATTTATACAGCACTTACCAATATCTAGCAGTGTTTTTCTTGCATAGACTGTGCTATATTTGCCCATCTTGGACAGATAGTGCGTAAAACACATGCAATAAAACGCGAATATTAAACAAAAAAAAGAAAAAATAAATAAAAAATAATAAAAAAGGGAAAGAAAAACTGCACGTTAGCAGGAGAGGTAGCCAGCTGCTGCCGTCTCCAGCGCCGCCATAGTAACAGAATAAAAATTAGAGAAACAAACAAACAAACAAAAAAAAACAAAACAAGAAACAGAATTTTTAGCGCCAAGGAAAAAATTTCACCTGAATTCAATAACTGGAAAAGAGCAGAAGCTTAAAACTTAGATGGCATCCTGACAACAATCCCTCACTGTCACTTTTATCGCTTCATTAATGGCCGCTGAATTCCTTTCCTACTTCCTCACATCAAACTGAATCTTTCCACATCTTGGTCAAATAAAGACGAAACCGTAGCCTCCGAGAGTTATGTTTTTGATATCCTCGCCCTTACCTTATGTTTTATTCCCTTTAGATAAGTTTAGCATTAGAATTGCACTTTAATAGTTTCCTACATTTCTTTGCAGCTTGAGGGGGTTTTCGGATACAATGACTGCAGCCGTGTGGGTTTGCTCTTTGACCACAGCTGAGCTTGTCCTTGTCGAGGCTTTAATCGCCTCGGGGGTAGCATTTTCCCTGGAATCTAGCCAGCAGGAAAAAAAGGAAAAGAGCTGGTGTGATTATAAGGTGGTCTTAAGGAGTGAGGTGCAGACTGATCAATAATGCATTCATTAAGCATTTAACTGACAGCAGAGGCATTTGTTTATTAATAGGCTTTCAGGGCGTTAAACAGGGCGAATCTGCAAACTAAAGAGGTGCCTCCAGAATCGGAGCTCCTCTTCTCGTGATGGGTTTTGCTTTCATTTTCTGTGAGGCTGAGTGAATRCAGCCACCCACCTCTTTAACCCGCCGTCTTTCAGGTGAGGCGGTGAGACTGAGCTGATAGAGGTCAAGAAGGCAGTGTTTGCTTTCTGCTTCCTTTGCAAAACGTTCCCCGTTTTAATCGTTGCGCCGCTCACCGCAAGGATTAAGAGATTTGTACTCCTCAAGCAGTTTTGCAAGCAAGTGACAAAGAGGGAACATTACGGTGGAAATCAAGCCGAACATTCATTTGAAATTGTCAATTTTTACAGCACGTTTCCTTCGATGTAAAACACCTCGCCGACCCGTTGTCGTGTTTTGTTTAGCGCGGCTTTCGACATGGAGCTGATTTAATTAAAAGTCGGAAATGCTTCACGAGTTTCCCCCCTTTTTAGTGTTGGCTGCTCTTTTCATTTTTGTCATATGGCACCACATCAGCACTCACATTAGCTCCGATGCGAGGCGGCCAAATGAATCTGGGGATGTTGAGACCGCGAAAAATCACTACACAAGCACATGCAGGCAGAATGCTTCAGACACAAAAATCAACACCTTAATCTTTAAATGTCGTCTTCCATTTTTTAAAATTTTTTATAGTCGAATTTTCTGAAGGCACAACACAATAAGATGAACTTTGATCTGCCTCACTTTAATTAGCACTTGAAGTTTCCAGTGAGAGGTCTTTATTATTTTTTTGACCTTTGATCTGTCATAAGTCATTACCTTAATATGTTACAAGCTTATGAAGAGAATGTGAGGAACTCATTTTCTCGCTAATAAGCATGATTATTACAGTTGTGCATGAAGAAGTGAGAKGAACCCACTAATGACGGGAGCTGGTAATATCTTCAGAGGCTCTGCAGGGCTGTAAGTTTTACAAAGCATTAAGTCCAGATGACTCCTGCATGACTTCTGTCTCATCCAGTGCTGAAACATTTTAAAATGACCCTGGCTGTATGGTAAGCTCATCTTTAAATAGGATGATTATCGGGTTTTGATCATTTGAAAGATGGGGTTTTTGTGTGTGTTTTTTCAGGAATAGATCTTGTGCTTTTAATTTGTTTTTCATTTTCTTGCTTTCTTTTAACATGTTAAAACCTAGTTATAAAAAACCCCACCCTATAATGTAATAAAATCACATCTTTAGTCAGTATYTCACCAGGCTGCTACTGTTGGTGAGTCAGTTGAACAGTATTTGCCAGGAACTTTCCAAAGTGTCTAAATTGTTTGTGGGAGTACTCAGTTATCCATCTCAATCGTTTTTAGAGCACCAGAGCTTTATTTTGACACTTTAGATTTGAAGCTCTTCTATGACATAAAACAGGACTATTCAACTGGTGGCTCACGGGCCACTTCCAGCCCTCAGGTGACTTCAGTCTGGCCCACTGATTAGTTCTTTAAATTGTGTTTTGTTTTGTTTTGTGTTGTTTTGTTTTGGCTTGAGTGACAAATATTTCAGTCAGGGTGGCAATCCTGTTATATCTGATCTATGACAACTCAGTCTGCCTGCCAATGACTTCATTTAATATAAAAATTTATTTTAAACAATAAAAAATAATAATAAGAAACTGTATTTATTTAATTGTTGGATGTCTGGACCTTGAGCTGTTGGCTTTCAGCAGCTGTGGCCCCCTGAGCAACTGAGTTGAATAACCCTGACATAAAACATTCAAGGCTAAAGTCCTGCATGTTGGAATCTAAAAATTCACAGATGACAAATAATAAAAGCTTTTGACAAATTTTTCCATCTTCACTAGTCAATTAAATGATAAACCTTGTAGGCGACAATGTGGGTACGGAGCAGGCAGAGGCAGGTAAAAGGTGGATGGTGGACAACAAAATAATGTGCATGACTTAGAATACAATTGGAGAGCCAAGCCCATGAAATTAGGCCCTGATTTTCAAAAAGTAGCCACTCAAAGCATGGCAGCCTGCAAACACTCAGAATTCAGAATGAAAAATTTGCCTGTTTTGTCAAAATATCTTCAACCATTCTTTGTTGATAATTAATAAATAGTTGACAGTTTTTAACTTTGATTTTGCTCAGAATTTCACTTTTTTGTGATTGAGTGATGAGTGACCTCCTAATAATCTTCACACTCACTAGGATATACTGTATATATAAATGTTATATGTCAAAGCAAGGGAATGCATGATATTAGCAACAAAGAAATTAAATGCGCGCAAATGTCTGATAACATAAACCTGTGAGCGTTTTCACTTCTTACTGTTTCCTGTTGCCTCCCTACGCTTATTAGAAAAAAAAGTCCTTTCTGCATTGTGCAGAGGCTTGTAGAGGAAGCTTAGATTGATTCATCCATCAGCTGTAATGATGTTTTCTTTTTTCAGTACAAACTGTTGTCACTTTCATTTGTCACCAAATGCAGCCAAAAGCAAAAGCAGGTGAAGAAACCTAATTTCATGAGATGTTTCTATAGGTTGTGGTTTAAGCAAAAGATATTAAATTTAATAACATCACATTGCAATCACCAATTAGCTCCATTGTTCCTGGTTCTGATAACACCTCTGCATAATGAGTTAGATTAGCCTTTTATCTAGATGAAAGACTCAATTTTCCAACAGATTCCTTAGACACGAGTTAGGCTGGGTGATTCATGAATTTCAATTAAAATGAAAGACCTACCTTCTACTTTATTATGCCTTCCCTTCAGTACACCGGTTCAGATCTCAGGAGAAGGGTGCGCTTTATCCTTTCTCCTGTAGTCAAAACTTCATTTCCATATTTCTTTTTTTTTTTTTGAAGGATGTGACACATTTGCATGTCCCTGTTCCCGCTGATCAGAATTTGCTGATTGAAACTAAATGAAATCAACTCATCATGGTGACATTGAATTTGTCTCCTCTTCCCTTTGAATACCCTGCATGCTGTGGACTCATTGATTACAGGTAGTCGATCTCACTACTTTCGTCAGCACAAATGTTGGAGCTCTTCCTTCTTTTCTTTTCTTTTCTTTTCTTTTCTTTTCTTTTCTTTTCTTTTCTTTTCTTTTCTTTATTTTTTTTGCCGGCTTTTCTCTAATTAGACAGTTTTCCACCAGAGTACTGCCGCTCAGAAATCGGCCCCAAATTATCTTCCAATCTCTGGTTTAACTGTTTTTTCCCCCTTTATTTTTGCCATGGTTGCATTTTTGCGATTACCCACGGTTGGTGGGTGTTTTCGGCTATCTCCCTAATTCTGCTGCATCTCACTCACTGGCGGTGGATCCTAATCGAACCTTGATTTAGTGATAATTCGTGGTAACTCTGTTCAGTCCCTGCGGACCTCTCTAACTGACTCATTGGCACCGCGGCGTCGCCTCTTTCGGGCCTTCTTTTGTTTGGAAAGAAAATCTTTTAGATACCCATACACAAAAGAAAAACTAAAGGACAAAACAAGCAGAAGTTAGAGGAAGTGTTAGATGAGGTTGGATCAGTTAAGGGGACTGACTGTCTGCTCCACTGCCCTTGGATTGTGTATCATCCCCCTACAGACCATGTTAGTGGACTGCTGATTCCCATCAGGCATGGTTTCTCTCTCTTTGTATTTGCCTGCCTGTCTCTTTCCACAGATAAGAGCTTGTCCTAACCCTGCTGGCCAGATGACCTTGGCTGCCATATATTTATTCATGCTAAGTACCTATTGTATTTTGTTATAATCGTCCTGCCTGGTTTGAAACACCATGTCACAAAAAAGAAAGAAAGAAAAATAAAGAAAAAAATCCTCAATGCAAGTCGCTTTTTTATCCAGTTTAAAGAAAAAAAAAGTTCAATCTCTGCAAGCGCTCTTTCAGGAATACTAATGCCRACTTGATCAATTTGGTGTTGTGTTGCTCAATATAAATGATCAAGAAAGCTGCACACTTAGTAAACACTGCAGTGTACTTGCAACATTAAAGCTTTACTATATGGCAGAGCATTACAGATGATTTACAGCTTGTTCCGTTGGGGCTCAGCCCGCTGATTACAACTTGCTGCKGAAAGTAAAGCCCCGTGTAAAATCAAGGTGTTMGTTAAAAACAGAAAGTATTCATTGAGCTCCGGTRTCAAATACTACAAATGGATGGTGTATGGGAGTGCCAAATTGAAAATTTAGTTCCAAGTCAGAGATATTAAGTGTTCAGCTTTATGGGCCGTTTCCCCTTAAGCTGTTGTCTTGGTAGTTTTAATTATGCTGTTTATTGGTGATTCATTGATCGTTTTGCATGTGTGTTTATGATTGGCTCTGACGGAGAAACGTCTCTCTGTCTCAGCTCTGTGTACAGAGGAGTGTGTGCATGGCCGCTGCGTGTCTCCTGATACGTGCCAGTGTGAGCCCGGATGGGGAGGACTGGACTGCTCCAGTGGTGAGTGTACCTTTATCTCTAAACTTGAAAAAGAAAAAAAATATTCCTCTTAGATACATTTATTCCTGATGTGGTGTCACAGCCTGTAGGTCCATAAGACTTTGCTGTGAATTTGTGTTGCCTCTGTGTCCGTCTATCTCAAAGCTGCTCAGCTTTGTGTCCTCTCTTCTTAGCAAACACAGCCAATGGAGCAGGTAAGTCACAATGAATTCATTCTCATTTGCTGGGAGTGGAAGTGATTTGCTTGATGAATCTAGCGGATGGATGGATGGATGGTTGCTTCCCTCTTGTGTCTACCTGACTCTTTGTTTTGGTCTTAATCATGATTAGACTGTGACTTGTTCAGTGAAATGATGGATGGGGGCCAAACTGAAACAAATCGTTGTGCCCATCGCTCTGTTTACCGGGCCTACCTCGGCTCCTCAGTCTGGCTGGGAGGGTGGGCATGTCCGTCCTGCAATCAGCTAAATGCTGGAGCCCCACTCAGGCCGGAAGGAGCAAAGAATCCATATTTAGTCCTTTGTGATGTTGAAAAGAAACAAAGAAAACAGAAAATTGCTTACACAAGGCTCCTTTTCTGCAAGACACCTATYTCAGTCGCTCATCACAATGAAAGGCGAGCAATATAGAAATGTCTTGAGTGTGTTTGTTGTGGTAGCAAAAAGTCTTGTGAAGCATTTGACAAATTTGACTAATTTTTAAAAAGGTCATCATTAGTTGTACATCTACATCTGATCAACTTTTGGAGTCAATTTAAAATGGCTGTCAAAACTCGGCAAACAAAAATGGATACAACTCGGTGATTTTTACTGATATTGAGATAAATATTTGGTGTGGTATTAAGTGACAGAGATCTCCAACATATACTTTGAGAGCTAATAGAAGGATATGGGGCACCAAGTGCAAAATAAAAAGTTAAAAAATGTCACTAACACATTTCATTATTTATCTCACTTTATGAGTGTAAGATCCTAGTTTAAAATTTTCCACAAATATTTTATTGTTATTTAAGTCACTGTTCTTACATATTGCAAATTTTTTTGCTAAATGTTGAATTTACCGTATTTATTCATGTATAATACGATCTCAAGTATAAAACCATCATCATTTTTGAGCTTACAAAGCATAATAATCTAATTATCAGTAACCCATGTATAATACTATCCCCCCATTTTATGGATGATTTTTAGGGTTAAATTTCTAGTATTATACATGAATAAATACAGTAAATGCTAAATGCTAATKTTGCTAATGCTGCTGAATATGGCATTTAAAATTTACATTGAAAACAATATGGATGGTGCCTGTGGTCAGGTACTTTGAAGTGCAGCTCGGATACCAGCTGCAACTGCAAGATTGATGTCTTTTAGGGAAGAGTTAGCAGAGTTAGCAGCATTAGAGTTTGCTTTTGTCGCAGGATGATGATGTCATAACAAGAGTCACGCACCAAAGGCAAAGWCTGTGTTCCATTCTGAAATTCTCAATTGTAAGCTTTAGCATTTTGTCGCAACATTTAGGAAATTTTTTTTTACATTTAAATTTACACATTTAGATTTAAGATTTAACATTTTTTCATCAATATTTTTACTGTATTTTTTCATATATTTTTAATTTAAACATCATATGGTTGTATGTCAACAAGAGCAAAAAGGACAATCAGCACCCTCTTACATACATATCTGCATATTTTTAAATATACAAGAGATAATAACCCAATGTAGAGACGTTGTTGCTTTCTAAATCTTTAGATCTGGTTCCTGTCCTTAGTCGGCCTCTTCCTCTTGAGACATGTCCACAACCTCCACAAATGTCCTGAGGGGTCTCCATATATTTTTTAATAATTTGTTTTGCCCATTTTGGAGATACGTTAGGATTTCACAATTACATGCAACATTTAAATTTAAGATTTCAGTCAATATTAGCAAAATGTAAGAACAGTGAACAAAATAACTGTAATGTTAAAAATGTTAGTGGAATTTTACACTTAGAAAGTGAACTAAATAATGAAAACGTGTCACATTTTTTACACTTTATTTTGACCCCATAGTTGGTCCCCACAGGTAGGTGTTTTCAAAACATGGTCACCACATATTAGATATTGCTCATCCCACACACACCACGGTGGTGAGCAATAACAGTCTCTGTGACAGAGTCATCATTTTCTGACCTCTGATATTTTCAACAGTTCACCCCCCCGACCCCCCACCCCCTACCCCAACACACACACACACACCAACCCCACCCTAGCGTTTAACAGCCACTCCCTGTTGCATAATTAGAAATGAGTAATGGCAGATAAAATCATATCAGCAGTGTTACTGTATGGATCTATGAGTTTTCATTAGCAAGAGAGCCATTCACTGATTAGCAACTGTGTGTAAATCAGTCGCTTTTGCTGTTGTGGGGCTCTCCTCCAGGTGGATTCATCGGCGTAAATGACAACCCTGATGTGTTTGCTGCTGCTGCTCCCTCATCCAGACTGGTGAGGGTCCAGCAGGGAGGATTCGAGGGTTCTGGCCCTCCGGAACTCTTGTCCCACTCTTGGTTAGTTAGGAGTGCAGCCGTGTGTGCTTTAGCAGCCTGCAGGTGCTTAGCTAATCCACCTTGCTTAAAAAAAATGTAGTTGATGATTGAGACGGAGGCATTATTCATAACTTTAGATTTCCATACCAGGCAAGATTCCAGGCTTTTTCATTTATGAGCCTTCATCTGCAGAAATTATGATTGTGTGCCAATTTTTAAATTAAATCTGCCCTCCTTTTTTTTTTCCTTCGAGTAAATGGTCCAGCATGTTATTTTTTTTTAGTCCTCCACTGTTACTGTAAATTATAATTTCAGCCCAGCACAGTCTGGAAATGTGGTTTTTGAAAAGCTTTTTAGTGAGAGGATGCAGCTGTAATGTCAGGCTGAGAGGCACAAATTAACAACCCAGAATAAGCACCAGTATTTATTAGTTCTTTGGTTTTACCGCCGTTGTTTTAGAGCTGTGTTTGTTTAAAGAGCCAGTTTCATAGCAGGGAAGTGGGAAGAATGCTCTGGTCACATGACAAAAAAAAGTGTGAATGTGAAAAAAAAAGGGAAAAGTGTGTCGCCTAAGCTTAGAGATGAAGAGCTGATGTGGGATGCTCTGCGGCCTAAAGCTGAAGTGACAGCCTTTCAGCAGTGATCTGGAACCGGATCAAAGACTTGGACATAGTTTTTGGAGCAGCACCCACCAGGAAGCAGTTTTGTATTTGGGTCAGGTGGTGAAAAGACAGAGTTGGACAATCGTCAGTTGCCAGAGGAGAGAAGGCGATCAGGTGGGAGAGGTTCAGTGAATTGTTTTGGTGAAAAGGAGATAAGAAGTTGGGCTTTTTTTRATTTGGTTTTTACTTCTCTTGCTATACTCAAAGGACATTTTGTTCCTTTTCTTTGACGAGTAACGATCGAGACCCGACTTGGCCTTTTGACCTGGCTGGAGTCCTGAAGYGGCACAGCTTGGTCCCTGTAGGACAAGCTGGTAAACAGATAAAAACAGCAAAACAGGATGTTGACGGCTGTTTGCAGACGCAGCCTTGTTCTACATCTGTTAGTRCGAAACTGGAGCAGTCTGAGTAGAAGTTGTTTTTTCTCTAAAGAGTGATGAATGATTCAGTGCTGCTGTTGGTGATTGTGATCACTCTGACGTCTGTGTGTCTGTTTGTGGAGCGTCTACTCTTCAACATGTATATCTCTGATAATGTGTTGTGCGTTCAATTGTTTTTTTCCACTTTATTTAAACAGGTAGGAAAATAAAAGAGAACCTTCAACCTGTTAATGTTTATCTGTATTTTCTTAATGATATTTTTTTGTCTTGTGGGTCTTGTCTTGTCTGCAAACTTTTTTCCCCTCTATTTCTCAAAAGGAATTTTTAAATGGGTGATTTTTTTATTTATTTTTTATTAAAATCAATAATCCGAGCATGGCAGCAATTTTAGYGGAGGCTGTTCAGTTAAATGGAGCTCTGCTTATGGGACCGAACAGTATGTCTTCAGTAATTTTAGTCGGCTGAAGTAAAGTGCTGGGTTTTGAGAATTTAGCAACATTATTGGCTGCAGTCTGCAGCAAATACAGCTGGTGCTGGTGTAAAGAAAGCCACACGGAGTGAGGCCCAAATCAAATCTTTGTATGATATTATGAGTTTATTGAGCATAAACCGTACAAACTTTTTTTCAGGATCTTATGAGTTTCTTGGGTTTAAAAGCAGATTTTCTTTTTCTGTAGCTGCAGAAAAATACTACGCTTCATTTTTATTTTTTCACTGAAGTGTACTTTTCAACTCTTGAAGATTAAATTCTGGTGATGGGTCTGTTACACGAGGTCACTATACAACTACAGTAATAATAGTTTTCAAATAAAGAAGACAATAAAGATAAATGTTTATGCAGAAAGCATAGCCATGACTGCCAATGCTTAAAAATTATTATGTAATACAGCATTCCTTTAATGTGCCTCAGATCTCGATTTGCCCCCATGGTTTAGGAGGAAAATGTCCTTAAATGTAAAACATTTAGTGTTTCTTTTTTAAATGTAAACTTCTCCTATTGTGCTAGAATTGTTTTGCCCACTCATGCAGGAATTATAAAAATCAATGCTCAAAGATAATCACCTGAAAAGCCCGAGGAACAGAGGAGCTTTGTTAACCACYGAGCATCCTTTGTGTACTTGGAAGAAATTCATCACACTTAATGGTATAAATTTGTTGTGGTTAGTCAGCCATGGAGCATGAGGTAACACATTCCTGCTCATATTCAAACGCAAGCCTCCAGTGTGGGTTCTGYGCACATGATTAATTGATAAATGTGGCACTTCTTTATGGCCTGTTGCATCAGATGAGATGCTACGTTCTTCTTGTTTTATGTTAATTTAATGGATTTTTTTTTTATTTTAAGGCTTAAAGAAAGTGTTTTTAGGAGTTAGCGACTAGAATTTCCTCAGCTTTTTTTTATAAAATTGTATTCTTGCTCAGTTGATGTTCCTTC